TAATAATAATAATAATAATAATAATAATAATAATAATAATAATAATAATAATAATAATATTTACATTTGTAAAAGAAGTGAAATTTATTCCTGCAATTGATTAAACTTCATCATTATTTTCAAATATTTTTCGAAATTGAAAAAGGATGGAGATATATCGGATGGAAAGTTCTTCTTTTCTGAATATTTAATAATAGTGGTGGATATTCATAACGGTCAGAGATATTTAATTTTGGATTTCTTATTTGTTACGTAAAAGTTGAAGATAATTTATCGTCTACTGTACATCTTCCTTCCCTCCCTCTTTCTGTCTTCACACATTTTGAAAGCCGCTCCGACAATGATATATTTCACTTGCTTGTACCATCATAATTCATTGTCATTTCTGTTTGTCTATTCTTTGGTCTCTGATTTTTCTTTATTTAGTTCACCGCATTTATCCTCAATATATTATTAGTGAATCTTTAATTTTGAATTTAGAATTTATAACCACATAATATCTTCTGCTCTTTGATAGAAAAATTATTATGATATAATTTAATATATTCTTGAATATGTAAGAAGAAAATTATCTTCAAAATATCTATATTTATGTGATTCATCATAATGTCTTTTCTTCATAAACAAATAATTCATGATATTATTGTAATTCTAATTAATCATTTAATCATTTGAAATATCAACAATATTTTTCTCTTTTTAAACAAGTTTAATGATTGTTAGTTGTTCAAACTTCAGAAAAGATGAATCATAATTTTATTTATTATTTGTTTTCCTAATGTAAAAAAGTGAAACTAATCATTAAGATAGATATTAAAAAAATCTAAAAGTGCATTTTGGTGCATCTTCTGACAGATTGGACTATTAACAGATCACGTTGTGTCAACGTGTCGGACATGCTACTCGTGCACAAAGAGCGAGAACAAGCATTGCTTTTCCTTGTCTTTCTATTCAATAGAAATTCACGAGAGATCGGCCTTTATTAGATTTCGTGATACGATTTCGGTACACGTGTTTCTTTAAAATTAAAAATCGTTCTTGGTTCAACATGCTTTCTTCTTGTTGTTGTCTCGTAGGAGGAAAAAATATAAATTGCATTCCCTAGAAATCATAAGAATTTCTAAAAATTTGAAAATATAAAATCAAAAATACGAGTTAGATTTTAAATCACGACAACGATAACTTAGATTACGTTGTTTTCTGACAAGGAAAATGATAATAATTTGATTTTCACGATACTTATTGAATCAATGTGACCAATATCTTGATAAGACATGGTCGAGAATCAATCTTATAAAAATTAATATCTTTCTATTTTTAACATCGTGTCAAAATATAAATATTCTTCCTATGGAAAAATGCAAAACTCTGACTTACTCTACCTGTTCTTTCGTCAACGATCCTTCAGATCAATCAGAAATGAAATTCGAAATAGAATTCATAAAGCAATAAACCTGCATACACCGATTAAACATTGATTTCAAAAGCACACGTGTAACGTGTCGTTTCTTGAATAATTTTCTAGATGGCTCCAAAAATACGATCCCCGAAACAGGTATGCAAGAGCACATAACGTCATTCGAAAGCGCAGAAATAAACTTTATGACTTTTCGCAAAATTTGAAAAAAGAGAAGAATAATGAAAATGAAAGAAAGAAAGAGAGAAAGAGAGAGGAAAAGAGAGTATAAAACTTTGCAAAATCGTACGTAAACGAGAGAAACGATATTTTCGCGCAAAACGAATATTTTTCCACGTTCGATCCCATCACTACCTGAACACTGTCCATTATTCCGTCAGCCATTAACCGCTGCACACGGTTCGCTTGTAAATTGGATGATAGTAGCAAACCCACTACGGGACATCGTCTCTCTCTTTCTGTCTCTCTCTCTCTCTCTCTCCCTCGCGATTCTTCGTGCGAGTGCACTTTCGGCCCGAAGTGCCGCGGATGATACGGTATCCGATGCTCGAAGCGTGCGAGCGTGAAGATCGTCTGATTTCCGATTGATGATCTCGAGAACTCACCTTGTTTCCCTTTATCACGTTCATTAAAAACGCGAATCATCGACCGTGAGATTGGAGAAAACGAAATATGTATTAAATATCGCGTTGGATGACTTGTATATAGAGGCGATGAAATTGTATTAATTTTGATGTAAATAAAATGATTATTTGTAAGGTAATTTTTGCTCGAGATTATTTTTCTCTTCGAGATTTCAACGAGTCTTTTGATCGAATTATGACGAATTTTAGGAACGAGCGGAGTAATATTTTTTCTTAAAGAAGGAGAAGGGTTGTAAGTTTCGATTATTTATCGATCGAACTTTTATATATTTCTTTTTGGGAGTCCAAATTTTGCAGAGTCGAAAGAAAAATTATGAGAGAATCGTGTTATTACGTAAGTTATTAAACAATGTAAAAAACATATGTCATTATGTTGATTTATGAACATGATTCTTTTTTAATCTGATTTAATTTTTTTAATATCCTACGAATGCATTTTATTTGAAAGATCTTGAGAAAATCATCTTGCGTGTTATCTTTTGCATTTGCAGTGGTTAAGTAGTAATTTTAAGAGGATTATGTAATTTTAAAAAGATTAATCATACGTATTGCAGTAGCAGTTCATACTTGTTAAATATATATCGTGCATATATTAAATGCAAATGAAACCTGTTTCCAAATGAAAAACGATGTTCTTATGTTATTTACATTTTAATATGAGATCGGATCAGAAATGTAATTATGTTATATTTTATCTAAATTTGCTTATTTTGCATAATTATACGCGACAAATTATTATAATATTATAGCCCCACACATTGTCGTAACGTTTTAAGAAAATATTTATCGCGAAATGTTTCAAAAATTTATTTTTATTATTTTTAATAGAGAACGATCTAATCTAATCTAAAATCTCAACTTTTAATCTTTAAAAAAACAAGAAACATGTCATATTTAAATAAGTGAAACAGATTTATAAACTCTACAAAATCTTTAAGATGAATCTAAATTAAATTATATTTGATTTATTCCCAGAATAAATGTTGATTCTAAATTCAGGTAAATGAATATAAAGATAAAGAAAAAAAAAAAAAAGAAAAACATATAAAAAAGATCGTAATTTATGCAAAACTAGACAAACGCAACAACATATATTTTATTTCCTTTAAATATTCTCAAGAAGACATCTGAGAATTTAAGTAATATGTACATTTCCTTAAGTATCGTTTTCCTTAAATAATAAACTCTTAAGTAACCGTTTGTATTTTTTTTCGATGATAAAATATCAACAGTGAATCGCGAAGTCGTCTTTAATATCCCATACAAGGAATTATTCGTGGATTATCGTAGCACAGTCTTGCATTCGGACAGCATTTCATTGCAATCTGTTGGAAAATTCTCTTGTTAAGATTCTTCGAGTTTCTTGGCATTCTGTCACCGATCTCATTGTGAAGTTCTTCCAGTTCTTCTGGGCTTAAATTGAAGCCGAGAAGATCGTCCGATTTCTGTGAAATAGTTTGATTCATTCGTTAATTTCTCACAATTACTGTATAGTTAACACTTAAATTTGTTATTATATATTATTATATATATTTTTTTTTTTACGTTGTCGCATATAATTATATTTTAACAATTGAATTAACAATGCAATCCTTGGCATAGAAAATTACAAATTAATAATAATAAACAATAAATTCATAATGAATTCTAAACAGAGAATATTTTACCATTCCTTCTCGAGAGTATAACACTTCTCGAACTTTTTTTTTTTACATTTTTTTAATTGAAAACATTTTCGAAATAATAAATAAAACAAATGGATATGGAGATAGTAAGAGTTTTATTGCATTCATACCGTTATAATGCTACATTAACTTTCATTTTCATTGACAATATTATTCATTTTATCAGAACTATAAATAGCCTGCACTTTCCCTCGCAGTTCTTAATTACAACAGATCCTCAAATATATAATACACGAAATCGATAATTTAATAATAACATTTTACGCTTTGAACATCTTCTTTACGCACGCAATAAATTTTAACTTTACATAGAATCGACTTACATGTTTCTTTTTTTTCTTTTCATTGTTACTTTATACTGTGCGTTATTTTAATATTATTCTCCATTCGTATAATCATTTTGATTAAGATGAATAAGTATCGAAACGTGAAGAAGTACGGAATTTAAACCCCCTTTTCATTGAACCATAACTTGATTATCAAGAACTTACAACGGATCTTATTAGGTATTTTGGTCGCATAGGTAGAGAGGAACCGTACATTCCTCCTGACATGCCAGTGTACTGAGTATCCATGAATTCGAGTCCTGGCGTGATAAGCTCTGATTGATGGAAATTGGTCGATTGATAATTTTGTCCTATCCCTCCGAATCTCGAAGGCATAAGTCCATAACCATAAGAGCCATGATGCAAAGGCATTCTAGCTTGTACATAGTAGCTTCCTTCTGGCTCGAATATTTCCATTCCGACTGGATTTTCTTCCATCACATCTAAAAGTTAAATTAATTCTTTATTTCACTGACTTTCTATTCGATGAACAACACCATTTGCAAAAAATTTAATCAATTAATCAATTTAACATTGTTGTCTTCTATCACGATTGGCAGAAAATTTTTGTTTGGATGATTTCTTTTTCGATTGGATTCAATAATTTTAATAAATAAATTCTATCTTATATTCTCCACAACGAGAAACATATCTTCTCCTCATTTGAGACCTCATTTCTCCATCAAATTACACGCGTACAATTGAATTTCGCGTAGAGTATTAATGTTTCTATTTTTCCAACACTTATACCAATTGAAATTAAATACGCATAAATTCTTATAAACTAATAAAATCCAAAGTACGCCTGAAGAAACATATATAAAAAAAAAAAAAGGAACGAGAAATCCAACCTGATATAGTCGCCTTTACAATCTGATCCGCATTACTAGTGTCAAATTTCTCCGGGGATCGTTTCATCCTTGGTCCTTTACAGCTATTTATAATCACGTCCCTCGCGATGTTCTTGCACTGGAGGGACTGTCGAGTCGACTCGGCCCTCGAGATTTCGACGATCGTGGCCAGTATCGCCACGAATAAAGCGACTCGCATGCCACGCATATCTGCACCACGTACACCACTAACTTGTGCAATCGCTATTCGACGACGACGACGATGACGATGAACGATCGTGCACGCGAGATCCTCGGCTACTCCATGCCGCGATCATGCTTCTTCGCACTTTTAACGCGGCAATTATGCGCTGAAACGTGTCGCAGGGCCAATCTTGCAATCGTGATTGTTTTACCCGGTAGTCGAATTCCTCGATGTCCTCGATTCACGGCAGTTAACGGCACAGGAAACGACGAGGAGATTGAGAACAGGTGGAATTGTTGTTCGATCCGTGTTGTAATCATTGATATAATTTTTTTTTATTTATCAAAATTGACGATTCGTACGGTGGAAGTCGAAGTAGATTGAACTTCAATCTTCAATGAATCTGAGAAGTTGTTTAAGAAAAATAAATTCGTATTTGGACGAATTTTATTTAATTAAATTGGAAATTTCGAATTGGGGATGAAAAATTAAATTTGATAGATATCAATATCAGAAATAGATTAATTAAGAATTTGGTGTACATAGAAATTACGAAGTTGTGCTGTGAGTGGATGAATTTTTGAAAGAATGAATATCGTTAAATATGTTAATTGCTGACTTAATACAGCAAGTTATCACTGAAAAAATGCAAAGAAGTTGATTGTAGTTGGAATGATCACGTCATTGAAAACTTGAAGCATGATAAAATTCTTATTTCATTGATGTAAAATTTCAATTGCAATCTGACAAATAAATTTTATCCATTTATTGATATAATCGAAGTTAAAAAAAAGTACAGAATTTTTTCAATCATCGAGGAGTCCATCCTCCTCAAATATGAAAATCCATCTTAAGAATACATAACCCTGGGATAACGAGAATCTTTTATTCGTGACAAAATAGTTAAAAATATGAAATACATCTCGTACAACCTTCGTTTCGAACATCTAATTATACGATCTAAAAGTAGACGGCCAAAAGTAGACACCAATAAATTTCTCTCAGAATTTCTTACACTATACGAACCATGCCAAATCTGAAAGATCCGAGTACGCAATTGCCGAGTTAATTACAATCGTAATAGTAACTTTCCAAACGCCAAAAAGAAACCATCCCCCCAACCATAAAAACTTTAAATATACCCATTCGGTGATCATGAAACGACCATTGAATTACCGGCATAAAATCGATCTTACGAAACGAGACCATAACTCGACGAGCACGAAAGAAAATTATTCGAACGATCGAGGCAACAAAGGGAAGCCGACGCAAGCGTGCAAACGCGAAACTCTTCGTGCCAATAACGACGATATTCCAGGCGATCGTTTCAAACTCTGTGAAACTACTCTTTCACCAAGGAGGGACAGGGATAGAGCGAGGGAAAGAGAGAGAGAGAGAGGAAGGACGGAGGGGGACGGTGGCGTTCACGGGTGAGAGATAGCCGGTACGAGTTAAACGCGTGTCTGACCCTCTTTGTGCGTGCAACGGCCGGTGCAATAGGAGTTAATCGAAAAAAGTAGGCAAGACAGAGATGGGAGGCAATTGAGAATCGGCGACGTCGAGACGCTTGCAATTAGCCGGCGCTCGCTCTATCTAGCCGCTAATTTTGTCTGACGCCATAGAGCATAGAGGCTGGAAATGTTTCGAGAATGGAATTCTCGAAAAATTACTTAGGAGATTCTCCGCCTTTGTTTGAACGAGAACGATCGGTTTTTGCTGGTTAACCGGTTTAGAATGGAGGCACGATGAGAGGTGGTCGTCCGTGTCACTCAGTCGATAGCACGATCGTGATCGATTGGAGAGAAATGTTGGATGGAGAAAAGACATGGATGATTCGAGGAATGCCTGTTCGGATATCGTTCATTCATCTCGCGTCACGTACATGGTACTTTGAAACTTTGTGAATTATAGTAAGACAATTATCGAGATCAAGATGCTTCGGATGTTGGTATCTTGTTTTTTAATTTTCAATGAGCAAGATGTGTTTTATCGCTGTAGTGATTTCAAGAGTTACTCTTTACTAGAAGAGAGGATATAGAGATATTTATGCTTCTGGCATAAATTTATTACATACAAGAGTACGTCAAGAGTAGGTTACATTGAGGTAGTGTAAGGTACAGTTAGATAGATGAGAGACTATTATATAGCAAGTTTTTTTTTCTCAATTTTTGCTTCAATAGATAGTAGAAGAAGATTTTGTAGATAGTATTCCTTGGCATAATAAAAGAGTATTGAGAAATGATAAAATATACTATTGGAACGATAGAAATGAAAAACAGAGATTTTATGTTATTGATCATTATTGATCATCTTGAAATTTATCGTAAAAAAGAAATATCGTAGAAAGTAAAAATGTATCTTTTTTAAATTTATAATAATTTCATCAATAAGTTAAAAAATGAAATAAAAAGAATAAAAATATCAAATGTAAAATAAAGTTACTTATAAAGATATGTTCAATAATTAATTTCACATTACTGTTTACTCTCCAAAGAGAAAAATATGCTTGTCAATCATAGAAATCTGACCGACAAAAGTTTATCAGTAATTTAAAAAAATCATTTTGTGCATCAATAAAAAAATCCATGATTTTTCAAAAAACGAATTGCTTTGAAATATACTAATATATTCATAACTGATAGTGCAATTATGCAATTTCTTTAATCTATTCTATCTAAATTAAAATTATTCTAAGATCATGAAACAACATGATTCTTATTCCTTTGATAAACTTAAATTGTTAAAATTATTGTTTTATTTTTTCTTAATCAGTTAAATCAGTTTAATATATTTTTATCATATGTAATTTATTGGTGGTAAAATTTGCGAATGAATTAATCGCTTCTTCGAACGCAGTTGCAATCTATTTAGTTCAGTTTGTTTTCTAGGTCAGTAGTGCTCCACTTGAGGCGGTTCTCTAATCGGGATGATTTATCTCTGAAGGAAATAAATTAATAATATTTAGTAACAATATATTGCGCCATTAAGTTACGGGTTTTATTTGGTAAATATCTGTTTTGTTTATTTGTTTTTTTTTTAAACGTTGAAATAATTTACGAAATATTTTACGAATATATTTTAATTATAAATTATTTATAATAAATCTTTACACAAATAACGATGTATATGAATACGTGCTCTTCAAATAAACGATAATTATTAATTGTTTTCCATTATGTAATTTTTATGAGTTGGAGAAAAATTAAAGAATTAATAAAAATTAATTTTATTTTTGCTGTTAATTTAAAATATATAAATAGAGAATTATATATAAATAATTTTCTGAACATTTTTTTATAAGAATACAAAATTTAATATTAATAAAAGTCCTTTCTGTAATTTATATTAAAATGTAAATGTTGATTCTTTTAAAATCGAAGTATGATAGAATACAAAAATAAAAAACTATAAAAAAATTTATATTTACAAAAAAATAATGTTTAAACAATATTTTAAAGAAAAAAAATATCATAAATTCAAAAAATTCAAAATATTTTATGTGGAAGAAGTGGATCGTAGCGCTATCTATTCCTAGTTTCAGTAGTCCCCTTGTATTGGGGTTTGACACGTATGCTGTTTTTCTTGTTTCCGGATTTATATAAATGTCAATTAGTCAATTGAAATATATTGTTACCTTTTGTTATCGCACAATTCACTTGTGACTACTCAGGTATGTCAAATTCGATCAATATAGTATATTACTTTATGTCCAATATGATAAGGTAAACGTATAACCTAACCTCACTTTTGTTATATGTTTTTCGAATTACTTTTATCACATAATGAATTTCGATCATTTATTCGGGAAGTATAGAATGATGGTTTTTAATTTGCAGGTGATAAAAAAAAGTTTTTCTAACAAAGTGTGAAACAATCGAAAAAATGAGTACCATAGCTGAACAACCTTGTTATACCTTGATAAATGTTCCAACCGATACGGAGCCATTAAATGAACTGCAGTTAAAACAAGATCTTGAAAAAGGCGATGTTCATACAAAAATTGAAGCTCTTAAAAAAACTATTCATACAATCTTGAGTGGAGAACGCTTACCTGGACTTCTGATGACTATTATTAGATTTGTATTACCATTGCAAGATCACACTATAAAGAAATTACTTTTAATATTCTGGGAGATTGTTCCTAAAACCTCTCCTGATGGCAAATTACTTCAGGAAATGATTTTAGTTTGTGATGCTTATAGAAAAGATTTACAGCATCCAAATGAATTTGTTAGAGGTTCTACTTTAAGGTATTAAGTATAATAATAATAGATATTTTATTCTAATGTTAAAAATTTTGATATATTTAAGAATTTTTATATTTTAGATTTTTGTGTAAATTAAAAGAACCAGAACTTTTGGAACCTTTAATGCCTGCCATAATTGCATGTTTGGAACACAGACATTCTTATGTTAGACGAAATGCAGTTCTAGCTATTTTTACAATTTATAGAAACTTTGAGTTTCTTATACCAGATGCTCCAGAATTAATTGCAAAATATTTGGAAGGAGAACAAGATATGTCTTGCAGAAGAAATGCATTTTTAATGCTATTACATGCTGATCAGAGCAGAGCATTGGCTTACTTAGCAGCTTGTTTGGACCAAGTGCCCAATTTTGGTGATATATTGCAATTGGTTATTGTTGAATTAATTTACAAGGTAAATATTTTTTTATAAAAGTTATTTATTTTTTTTTATTTTAAATATTAATAAACCTGTACTTTTATAGGTTTGCCTTGCAAATCCATCCGAAAGAGCCCGTTTTATTAGATGCATTTATAGTTTATTAAACTCGCCGAGTGCTGCAGTACGCTATGAAGCAGCTGGTACTTTGGTTACACTTTCCAATGCTCCTACAGCGATTAAGGCTGCAGCTTCTTGCTACATCGAACTAGTTGTTAAAGAAAGTGATAATAATGTTAAATTGATTGTTTTGGATCGCTTAATTGCGATGAAAGATAGTCCTGTTTATGAAAGAGTTCTCCAAGATCTAGTAATGGATGTACTTAGAGTTCTAGGTAGATTTCTAAAACTAATAAAAAAAATAATATAATAATATAGAATGTCACTTAAGATTTTAATCTTATTTTAGGCTCTCCAGCATTGGAAGTTAGAACAAAAACATTAGCTCTAGCGATGGACTTAGTAACAACTCGTACTATCGATGAAATGGTTCAGTTATTGAAAAAAGAAGTGCTTAGAACGGCTGGCGGAGAACATGAAGATGCTGGTCGATATCGACAACTTCTTGTTCGAACGCTACATGCTTGTTCTATCAAGTTCTCAGATGTAGCAGCTACAGTAATTCCAGTATTAACAGATTTCTTGTCGGAAAATAACGAAGCTGCAGCTACTGATGTTCTAGTGTTTGTTCGTGAAGCTATTCAGCGTTTTGAAAATCTGAGACCACTTATTGTTGAAAAACTTCTTGAAGTACATATCAAAAAAATAAAAATTAAAAAATTAATCTTTGTTTCCATATTCTAAAAAAACGATTTTAATTTTATTAATTATTAAAAATAGGTATTTCCACATATAAGATCGGTAAGAGTACACAGAGCAGCATTGTGGATTCTCGGTGAATATGCAACTACAAAGGAAGATATTGAAGCTGTAATGAGTCGCATACGAGCTGCATTGGGAGAATTACCATTATTAGAAGCGGAGAATAAACGTCAAGCTGGTGAGAAATTAGATGATGGGAGTGCTCAAGTTACACCAGCACAATTAGTTACATCAGACGGTACATACGCTACTCAAAGTGCATTCAGTGCAACATCTGCACGTAAATATCTTCTATTTTTTATTGGCATTATTTGATGCGATTATAAATTTCGTTTTATTAGAGATAGTTTATATTATTTTTTCTTAAATGTAATTTATAGGTAAAAAAGAAGAGAAACGTCCTGCACTGGTTCAATATATGATGGAAGGTGATTTCTTCATAGGTGCCTCTTTAGCAACAACTTTAGCCAAGTTGGCGCTTCGATATAAAAGTCTCGAAACTGATCTACAGAAGAGCAATCGTATGCAAGCTGAAGCAATGTTAATAATGTCTAGTGTGATGCAGTTGGGTCGTTCGGGTCTTCCTACTAAAGCAATAACACACGATGATGCAGAACGTTTATCGTTATGTTTAAGATCCTTAGCCTGTCCAACACCTCTTGTACAGAAAGTTTTCACAGAAGGTTGCCGTGATGCTCTTGGTAGAATGTTGGCAGCAAAAGCTGAAGAAGATTCACAAAACCAAAAGGTTGTACTTTAAATCAATTCAATTCTTTGTAATGTTTATGAACTATTAATTTCTAATTTTTTATTTATAGGCAAAAGAGAAACCAGGTAGTGTCGTTCAAGTAGACGATCCTATACAATTCTTGCAATTAAGCCGTGGTTCAGACCTAACAGGTGGAGCTGGTGATGTATTTGAGCAAAGTTTAAGTGCTGCTGTCGCTGGAAGACCCGGTGCTAGCGGAGATGCGCCAGCTCCTAGTGCTTTGAGCAAAGTTACTCAATTAACTGGTTTCTCAGATCCTGTTTATGCAGAAGCTCTTGTTCATGTCAACCAATACGATATAGTACTTGATGTACTAATTGTTAATCAAACCGAAGATACTTTGCAAAATTGTACTTTGGAGCTTGCAACAATGGGCGATTTAAAACTCGTAGAAAGACCACAGCCTATTGTACTTGCTCCTAGAGACTTTGCAAGCATTAAGGCAAATGTAAAAGTAGCATCCACAGAAAATGGCATAATATTTGGCAACATAGGTAATTATTCAATGACATATCTTAGGAAAATAAAAATTTTATGAATTAAAACAAATTTCAGTATATGATGTATCTGGCGCGGGATCTGATAGAAGTGTAGTAGTATTGAACGATATACATATCGACATCATGGATTATATAGTACCAGCAACGTGCACTGATCTAGAATTCAGACAAATGTGGGCAGAATTTGAATGGGAAAATAAAGTGTCTGTAAATACGACATTATCAGATTTGAGGGAATATCTCGCCCATTTACTAAAATCTACAAATATGCGCTGTCTTACTCCAGAAAAGGTATTGTACTTTAAATTGATTTCTCCTAAAAAATGATTTCAGTATTAAACAAATTATTGGATAAAATAAAATTTCTTTTCAGGCTCTTTCTGGGCAATGTGGTTTCATGGCCGCAAATATGTATGCAAAATCGATATTTGGTGAAGATGCATTAGCAAATATGTCTATCGAAAAACCATTGAATAAACCTGATGCTCCAGTAGTTGGCCATATTCGTATTAGGGCGAAAAGTCAAGGCATGGCGTTGTCGTTAGGCGATAAAATTAGTTCTACGCAGAAAGGTCCACAGAGTAAAGTGGTGCAAGCTGCTTAGAATATATAGTTTTTTGATCCATGATATTTTCAGTATTCATGTTATTTCCAGAGAGGAATAAACGTGTAATCAAATTTGTTTAAAGAAAAGAATGCGTAATGGTATCAGAATGGCATGATGTCATTTGCCTTCAATTCCATATACAAAATTTTTTCAAATGCCAGGATGTTGAAATATATTTTATACGATCAGTGCATTAATTTATATGTTGTTTCAGTTTTATTTTTTCCAGCATCATTGAATGTCATTGATTGTATCTGAGCAAAAAAAAAAAAATATATATATATATATATATATACATGATACTTTAACTACATATTTGTATCTCTATTTTACGTATATACCATACATAAATGAAAGGAATCTCATTGAAAATGAATTTCATTCCGTGTAATTTTTAGCATACGGATGTATATTTCCATTATAAGTATATTATATATTATAATACATACATATCATTTTTATATGTCATAATATATTTTACATATATTTTTATATTTTTATTTTAAAAAACGATAAAGTTTATCAAATATCGAAACCCTTTTTAAAACACACAATTTTAGGAATATGAACAAAGAGAACAAACAGTGAAAAAGGTTATTAATGATAAAAGAAAGATAAAGTGAGAAATAATCGTCAGTGCCATCTTTTGAGTATTATAGAAACTTCTTCTCAGCCAAGATAAAACAGAGTAAGAATTAAAAATTAGCGCCATCTTTTAGAAAAAAATTTAATTTCACTTCAGAAATGGCGCTAATGATCAATTCTTACTCTACTATCTCTTTCTTTTAAAGAGATATCTTTATTACTCAAGAGATGGCTCTGATGATCAATTCTTATCCTATCTCTATCCTTTTTTCTTGCTTTCTTTTTCTAAATTTGTGTTTAATCTACGGCATTCTATAGATGGCGCTGATTTCCGAATTTTTATCCTATTTTCATCCTTTTCTCACTATTTTTTCTCTTTGTCTTACTTTATATATTCATCCTTCGCATGTGATCATAAACAAGATATGAGATTTAATTGAACACAATTTCATCATTTCACTTTCAAAACTACAACGTGTCTTAATTTTTAAAAAAGAAATATAGATATTAAAATCTTTTTTACTTTATAATATATTCCTAAGACGATAATTTTATCAAAACATGCATGTGTATTAAGAACACAGATTTTTAAATCAAATCTCATAAATTACATATTTTATTTATTTTTATTCAGTATTTTACAGCCAACCTCCTTTTCGAGGTGATTTACTTGGTCCTCGTGGCATAACATTTACCAATTTTTCCTTATCCTCTGGCAAATTTATATTTTTTTTAGGACTTAATGTGGGTTTTAATCGTGATTTCAATGTTTTAGGAATTTCATCCTTATGGCTAGACAATGTTGATTCTGTACCACCAGATTTCTTTATTGGAGAATTTGATGTGTACTTGAAAGTATTCGTGGAATGAGAAGATATTTCTGAAAATAAAATTAAAAAAAAAAATTCACTTTCTTTGAAAAATTATTGAATATTAATCGAATATATAAATTTTAATTTAAAATTTTAATAATTTAACAATAATTTAAAAATATTTAAAACAATAAAATTTGTTATTTAAATACTTATTTCTTTTCTTTTCTAATTTACAGAAATTATAAATTTATTTTTAATTTTACTTAATTTTTATATAAAATCATGAGAAATATTTATTATCCAAATGACAAAGAAAAAAATCAAATTTTCTTTTTATATGAAAGAAAAATTGATCAATTCTGTTGCGAATTTACTAATGAAATAATTTCTTTTAAGCAAAAATAATAAAATTATTTACCAGATGGTTGTTGATACGTCGTTGAACTGTTTAAAGATTTTCTTTTAAATTGCTGCGGTGGTACTGGTGCAGTTTTAGCGGATTTCTCATCGATATAATCCATTGACATTACAGGCTTCGACTATAAAGAAGAGTATAACAATCTATCAATATATTCATTATGGAATAAAAAATCAAAATCCAAATACATAACGAACGTACATAATTTTTAAAAGAAATACTAAAAAAAAACCGTATCTTGCATTATGTTATAGATATTCAATTTTTAATAACGAAAAAAATATAATAAATGCCTCTGTACGAAACTTCTTCTATTAATTAGATAATTCAATGAATTTTTCTAAAAAAAAGGTACAAGAAAATTTCTAAATATCCGCCTTCTTATTTGCATACGCATTCAATACGAATTTTTGCCATATATAGTTATGAATTTTTTTTTTTGAAAATCCATATTTGAACATCATTTTCGACATTAAATATTATTGACTTTATGAGAAACATATCGATATTCAATTCTTACTTTTTCTTTGGAATCTGTCATTACATTAATTATTGTTTTCGAAGTTTCTTGCACCGTTTCAGATTTATCACAAGTATCAGTTTCGTCGACCGTATCATGTAGAACATGAAGAATCGTGGAAGCAGTAGTTTCAGGAAGTTTCACAGCAAGTGATACAGGTGGCAATGTACTCTTATTGTTCAATTTTTGCGCCTCCTCCATAGCTTTCTTCAAGCTTATCTGATTTTGAATAGACGATTTACTGGTGCTTTTGCCAATCTGTGAACTTTTCACGGCGCTGTCCAATACCTGGAATTTTTTTCATTACCTTCCTCTCGGATAACAAATAAAAATATCGATCTCATTTAAGGTAATTTTAAAATTAATCGATTCCCACCTGATTCCAACGATGATTAGCCGATTGTAACACGGCTAATTTTGCGATTCTTTTCCATTTCGCGATATTGTCTTCGTCTTCGTTCGATTGCTGGAAAGATTCCATTTGATCCTCGTCTAGAGAAAGCGGAACTGCTACTTGGAAATCCTTCATTAATCTTCTTTCCCATACCTTCATCTTCTTGCCAAGAATAGCTAATCGTTCGTAAAGATTAAATTTAATAAACGAATCAGCTGACTATCTGTAATTAATAATATATATATATATATCGATTATAAAAATTATTAAAAAATTATGAATCGAGTCTTTTCTGAAAAATATCATAATTTCGATTGATTTTTTTCAATTCCAATAAAATATATTCTTTCTCATTTATTGCTTAATTTATCAATATCATTGGAATATATTAATATAAAAATACGATATGAAAATACGTCAGGAATAAAGATGCATCGACTCGAGAATATCCTACAAATACAAAGACTACATTAACGTTACAACATATTAAAATAAAAAATGCGAAAAAATCGATGTTAGCCGAACACGTCGATGCATTTTAAAATATACCGATATTCGTATGAAATATCGAATGTTACATTAATCCCTACAAAAAAGTTCCATGGCTAAAACTTGTATACGATAGGTAAAAAAAAGGAAAAAAGAAAAAAATTGATCTTCCACGCGAATTCTGAGATTAGAAGCGACCTACGAATAATTTTTTAAAAATTTTTCGAGGAGAAAAATAACATTTTTCTTTTTTCAACAATTCTCTCCTTTCTTAATCTTTCTACGATCGATAACCTATAAATAACAGATAACAATTAATCTAAATCGTACTCACTTTTCTCTTTCGTGTCAGCACTAGCAATATCCATTCCGTTCCTTCTCAAGATCTCCAACAATTCGCATCTCCACGAGGATAGATCCGACTTGAGTTCGTGTACGTCATCCTCGGTCACCGGATTCATCTCCTGTTCAGAGTGAGTGTTCACGATGTACCTCCATATCAGTGCTCTCATCACGGCTCCGTACCTGAAAAAAAAGCGAAATAATCCGGTCGTAAAATTAGAAAATAGCGTCGATAATGGATTTAAAGGAAGAAGAAGAAGAAAGAAGAAGGATCATTACCTGGAATCGCGCGTTCGTTTGCAATCGTTCATCTTCTTGGTGATCTTTCGCAGGCCGCACAACCTGAGGAACAGTTTTGGGGGAGGGATAATGTTGAATGGAGGTGGAAGCGTGCCACTGTCCTCGAAATAGCTCATCCACAGCTTCGTCCTCGCGAATTTCCATTCTTTGTCTGCTCGTTCCTAGTTTATTGGGGAAGAATTAACGTTAGAAATTAAGGTTGAGTTATTAGAATTATTGGAATTGTTTAAATTGTTTATCGAAGTGGATTAAATTCGATACTTTTTATTAATATAAAAAAATATATTTTTTTTTAGTTACCTCAATGACAGCATAGCTGTTGCTCATCATGGCGATGAGAAGATTCAGAAGGACGATCACGTTGATCACGGAATAAGAACCAAACATCAGCAGGCCCCAGAATCGAGTATAGCTCTTGATCCCTTAAAAATAAAACGAGCAGGATCGAAAATCGAAACACAGAGAGAAAACAAATATTCATAAAGAAATATTATATTAAGTTTTTGATTTACCTGTGAGTTCGAAACTTTCTATGCCAATCCCGCCAAAACTGGCCCAAAATAAACTTTGACAGGACTCGAAGAGATTGCTGAATCTGTAAAATCGAGAGATCAAGTATCAATTCAATGAAATAAAGATTCCATAAAATCCATAAAATCGAGAGATTAAATCGATTAGATTGGACTTATGCATTGATCATCTACCTTCTCCATCTTAAACAATTGTCACTCGCGGGGTCCCAAGATGGATCAACAAAATCAACGTAGCACTTTTGTCTTTCCAATTCGGCAAAGTACCAGAGCAATTGATTCAGGCCACAAGCGAACGCGAAAAGTACCAACGTGTAGATGAAGAAGAACTTTACAATGTCTATCACCATTCTTCCTAGAGATATCTGGAAAAAAGATATTTTTCGAAAAAAGAGATCAAAAATTAATCATCGCGCGAGGAAAAATTGTACATTCTTTTCTACTTTGTTTTCTGATCTTTCGTTCTATGGTATTCTATAATACTTAAAAAATTCACGAGAATGATCACCTGAAGAGGTCCCAAGTGAGGATTAATACTGAACAAATGGATCAATTTCAGGGCACTGTTGATGTTGGCGGCTGCGAACAGGCCTTCGGCGATTAACTGAGGATCGAAATCGCTCCAGTTCTCCCTTGGGATCAGAGCTGCCGAAGGATTGTCTCTAATCTCCGCTTTTTGCTGAAGATACGCGGCTAATCGAAGAATCGCAGTCGCGATGTAGAGAAAATTTCTAGTGAAGTCGATGAAGTTCCACATGTCTCGTAGATACCCCTTTAATCCGTCTATGTAAGCCTTCAAATTTGTACA